AATATCAAATCACTGCACTAATACAGGGTACAAATTGAATTGTTTTTAAAGTTAGGCTGTGTAAATGAAAAGAAAGAAAGTCTTATGGAGTCTTTCTATGTGTAACTCTGAAAATGTGCAAAATGCCTAATCTCTGGGAGCATTGATAGCCTTATATATAAAAGGCCTTAAGAATATCAATTGGTTTGTTGGGTATTAGATGCTCAGAAAATAATTGACATTCTGATAATAATTAGTTTTTCTATTATTACCAATTTTCTTATCTTAAAGCTCTCAGCCATTTGGATATCAAACAATAATTGTTTTGTAAACCCTACTCAACAGCAAGAACATACAGGAAAAATGTTTGCAGAGCAACATATAGACAGTGCAGGAAATGTTGGGGAGGGCAATATGAGATTAGCTGATAAAGTCAGATGCACAAAGGACAACGCTTCAAACACAGTGCAGAAATAAGTCCTCTGTGTTTCCACATGCAAACTGCAGACCTCTGAAGGAGGATGCCTCAGCTATGGAAACACTCCAGAGAGTACAGTGATCTCTTCTGCAGCTTGTTTTTTCAAGATTTTTTCCTGGGATCCCCAGGTTTTCTCTGTGGTGCCATGGTTCCTTGATCTTATAATAGTCAGAAGAGGAGAGAATATTGGCATTGCAGCATAAAATCAAGGTGCAGTTTGGATTATAAACCCATTTTGTATATACTCCCTGGCACTCCAGCCATTCAGTTTTCATTCAGTTATTTAGTTTGTTTTCAGAAACCTGAGTTAGAATTATAAACCCTTCACTCAGAAGCCCATCATCAGCTCACTGGGTGTGTTATGTGGTAACTCTGTGAAAACGTGCAAAATACCTAACCTACAAAGCCATTGAGCTACAAAATCAGTATTTCTTCTCTGGAATAATATAAAATTAACTGAAACATTTATGCCTATAGACTTTTAATTATCCACAAGTATTTTGCAATAAATGAGAAAAATGTAAGGTAGACTTTTTTTTTAAAGTTAAGTTTATGTTAATGAAGAGAAAGCCACTCGTATGGAGTCTTTTCATGTGCTGTCTATTTCTACCTCTAGTTCATTCTAAGACAGAGAATCTCCAGTATTTAATATTTAATTATAGAAGTAGAACTATAGAAAGTGGGAATTCACTTCGTAGTTGACATTGTTAACGTTTGATGTATTTGTCCATCTGTTAGGAACATTAATCAAAATTTAATAGAAGATAAATTGGTTAGAAGTAGAATTGTAGCTTATCAGTTATTGAGCCCCAACTATAATGTATGTAATTTTTATACACTAAATATATTTGATAAACCATCTATGGTAAAGATGCTTATAAAATAATTGTTACAAATATGTTTTTAAAAATCAATGGAGTTTAATTTAAAAATTTAGATGAACATTACAATTAATATTGGATATTAATTTTTTGTTAAATAATTTAACAGTTGAACATTCGTTAAAACTTTTACAGAATGCAGCATGATGAAGCATTTTCATCCTAATACTGTTGGGGAAAGATATATATATGGCTGCTGTTTTTATGGGTCTTATCATGTTTTAGCTCACAGGTGGCTTGAAAGTGAGACAAATGAATTAAGTGAATTCTTAGAGTGTGTGTGCTAGAGTCACTTTGTGTACAGAGACTCAGTAAGAAGGAGGAGAGTAAGTTGTGAGGGAATGAGAGCTTATTTTCTATATATTTAAAATCCAGAGAGACTAAATATTAAACAAATCTAAATATTTATCTAGATACTTTCTAGATAAGCTAAATCTTCCAACACATTTTGCACCTTGGGGTATACAGAATGGTGAAGAGGGCCAGGGTCATTTAGCCAGGAAAAAGTGGTAATAAATGAAGATTGAAGAGGAAAATTAGTATCAAGCTGTGGTACAGTAATGCAAACATGGATCTTTTAAATAATTATTAATACTTAATGGAGTGTGTGTATTCTTTGCCTTGGATTCTTTTGCCTATGTGCTGTACAGAAGACTAGAAAAGTATTTTCTATGCTTTTTTCTTCAGTATGTGGAGATTTAAAAAACATAGTGATCGCTGAAAGGTTACTTTGAGCAAATTATTACTTTTCACAGATTATATGAAAGACATTGCTTTGTGGAATTTGAATTTCAGGGAAACTGAAAAGATCTACCTTTCCCGTACCTAACCATGGCAAAGTTGTATAGTTTGTTTAAAAGAGCTGGAATGGGAATGATATTCAAAATATAACTGAACAATTGAAAGAAACTCTAACTGGGCATGAATAAATTAAGAAACTAAGAAATAGATTCAGTGAAATTATCAGCAGTCTACCTCTTAAATTACTTCTATAATCTTTATTACTAATTTCTTTCTGAAAAGTGTTTTTGTTGTCTTATGTCGTAGATGTTATTAGAATCAAAATTATTTTTTTAAATAGTCATATTTTTAGCCAGGTGATAAGAAGTCTAAGGCTGTTCTTTGGTTTATTTTTATAATATCAAATATATTAGGATTGTTTATAAAATGAGTAATTGAAACCCCTAAGATGAAACTATGCATAGTTATATATTAGTACCCGTATATAATGTAGGCAATAAAAACAGTTTTGTCTCACAGGTGGTTACAAATAAACTAAGCAAAAAAAAAAAAAATCCAGTCATATTCTAAGCAAAAAGAATGAATATTTCACAGTATATTAATATGACGTTGTTACATCCATACTTAAAATTTCATCAAAATTATTTTGCAGTGATATCTGTATTTTATTAAATCTTGATTTAAGGTATTCCTATCTTTAATATTACAATGGCAACTGCTAAACTGCAGTGATATTTAATGTCAATGAGAGATTATATTTGGGATCCAAAGTAGGTAAAGTATTTTTGGACCATATATCTAAGGAGATTATTCAGCACAGTTTGTGTGTCTCTTGAGGTCATTATTTCAATTAGAGTTCAGTTTTATTCATTGCGTAGATTTATTGGTAAATCCTAGATTGTATCTTACATCTAAAATGTGCTATTTTGAGGGACAGGTCTATACTATCCTGAAGGTACTATTCCACAGCTACTCATGAGACTTAACATAAAACTTAAATGAGGTAGAATAGAGAATTTGAGCACACCAATTTCTATGAAGTAAAAAATTTACCATTTATGGCCAGAAGTTCCTAATTATTAAATCTACTGAAGATTATAAAAAAGTGCTTAGTTGGTTTAATGTTGAAGGTGAGACTTGAAAATATTTAGATTATCTTTTCTATATTTTTGAATCTGCTGTAGGTTATTTCTATTTCATTATATGAGATGTGATCATAAAATATGGTGAATGTTAAAAAATTTTTAAATTGTTACAATAAAAGTTCTTTATTAGTTCTCCTCAAAATTCTCTCCCCTTCCCAACTCAAATATAGCTATCCCAACATTCTTGCCACTTTCTGAAGCAATTCTGGAAGTCCTCTTTCTTGTACTTTTAATTGTGCTGCTTTCAGCTACCTCAGTGTCCTGAATCAATTCAAAACATTTATCTTTCAATGTCATTTTGATTTGGGGGAAGACTTAGATGTCACATTATGCCAGATACAGTGAGTAAGGTTTGTTAAGACACTCTACAATTTTTTTTTTCTAAGCCTCTTTTTTTTTTTTTTTTTGTTGTTGTTTTTTTAGGGGGCGTGACACTTAGCAGCAGAATTCGCTTTATTTTCTCTCTCTCTCTCTCTTTTTTTTTTTTTTTTTTTTGTACCAGAGATCGAACTCGGGTCTTTGTGCTTGCAAGGCAGGCAGTGGAACCACTGAGCTAAATCCCTGCCCCACTGTATTTTCTATCACATATTGTACAGGCACTTTTGAAAGACTTCCAAAACAGTTTCAGAAAGTGACAAGAAAAATAGAATAAAGGTGTTGGAAGCAAGAGGAAATACTTTGAGGGAAATTCATAGCAATGTGTCTTTTACCATAATAAACATTTACAAAAAATATTTACAAAAATTGTAAAGTATTTACAAAACAATTATGTATCTGAACTCATCAACAGACTTATAGCCGTGGTTACCCAGACTTAAAAATATCTTTTGTAAATATTTAATTATCCTTTGTAGTTAAATTTTTGAAACCATTAGACATTTTGCTAATGTCCACATGACAGCATGCTTGTTTCAAAGTTTGTAAAAATCTTTCCTTTTCTTATTATTCTATTGCCTATTGTAGCTATTAAAATTTGAGAGTCAGACATATTTCACACAAATACATGAAAACTTCAGGCCACACCACAAAGTAGGAAGTTTAGAGAGTGTTATATTTGAGGAATAGGTTTATGTTTTGTTTGTAGTTTTAATTTCCCATTTCTTGTTTCTGCTTCTTTCTTTGGGTGTATTCATTATGTCCAAAATTTGATTTATTCTTTTATTTTTTACATGGTAGTGTTTTTTATTGGCAAAAGTTGAGTCATCTATTCATAACTTAACACTTAATTTTTCAGTTACTGTCACTTCAGGCGGAAAAGCTATGTAGTTCATTGATAGAGGTGCAATACGTGGTGGCCTTCCTATAAATACAAACATTACACATTGCACACATAAGCTACCTTATGTGGCACATTAAACAGCACTGCTAAAGTTAAGATGGGGGCTCAGTCTTTCCTGATGGAGTCACACCTGAGTGCATTCAGGGAAAATTTGGTACTGCAAGCACGGAGGAATTAATTGTCATTCAACAGAAACGAACTAGCTTTGCATATCAGTAAAACACACACACCTACTCTTATCTATTTCCTGAGTGTTAAGGAACTGATATCAAAATAGAAAATATTTATGAGAACTAAAAATCCTATATTCTCCTTTATCGTATAAACCCAATGTAATTAAGAAATTAGTTTTGAGGATATGTGAAAGATGTTACTTCTTAAGCAAGTGAAGGTAAAATAACACAAACTTTGTAGCAGGCTACATATTATTTTTGTGTGCACATTCCCCACAGAGTGCTATGTCATTAATTTTTTTTTTTACTATTATTCATTTTTAGATGGAAGACTGTATTTGAAAACTACTGTCATGTACTGAATCTTTCCTGTTGAAGAAATCTCATGTCATAGTAAAGAACTTGCAGCCTGGCATTCGCCATGGGAAAGTTTGGAAAAAAAATAAAATCCTTTTAAGGGATTTTCATCAATTTTGTGTATTACATTTCTTTAACACTTAAGTATTCTACAAAAAAAAAGTTCCTCTATTGATTTTTCACCTATGGTTCATACCAAGGACCCAAGAATGTTTATAAATGTACAAGTATCAAACTTCTTACAGTTAATAACTGCAACTTTGCTGCTGGACACTTGTATAGAGTTAAAGACAGGTCTGAAAATGGACCTGGCTTTTTTTTAATGGAATGAACCATTTTCCTCTTCTGAATATTCTGTATCCGAGCACATCAACAGACTCTTGTAGCCATGGTTACCCAGACTTACAGAATTATGTCCCACTGAGACCAGCAAGAACGCATGGAAATAAACTTGTAAGGGGCACAGAGGATTGTGAAAAAAAATAAAGAGTAGTATTCTGTTATGTTCAATTTTAAACCCTAATTGTGGGTTTTTCTCCTGAAGATTTTTTTCACATACTTTCCAAAAGACCAACAAGTGGATGTTGACATCAACCCATGAAATACCATTTTGCATATCTGAAAAGAAGCATTGAATACAAGCCAAAAGGTTTCACTGAAGGTCTCTTTTTTCTTAAAAATAAAATATATAAATATATATATAAATGTAACATTTTCATTCCAAACTGGTAGTGGTATATAGAATTAAAAATAATAATGTTGCTTCTTATTCAAACTGTTGGTCACATGTACAGTATATAAACATAAAACACAAGGAAGGTATTATGTACGTAGTGGTAAACTAGAATTTAGGAAAATGAAAATTTTAGAAAATACGTTTTGTCACCCTGTTGGTCAGAAAGATGTCTTTCTGGTTTTAACGCATGCAGGCATGTAAATATTTGTCTGGAGTCACAGTATTAATGAATGAGACTTAAGAATCTGGTGCCATCAGAACTCTGTCTCAGCCACTTTTATTTGTATATTGATCCCTAGTTAGTGCCCCAAACTGCACTACTGAGAACGGATTGTGGCTGAACAGTAAATTAATACACCAGAAATATTTTTATATGTTAATGTCATATTATGTTAATGTTGCTGAAACACAAAACCTAACAAATCCTTGATGTATCAGTCCAATACCATGTAGCCCTGAGTGATACAGTTAAAATGTGCTGTGCTTCCCACCCTGCTCAGAGGGAAGGGTGGCTATGTGTTATTTTCACTGTCTTTTTGAAAGTTACAGTATGTGTTTTCACTTTTGTGCAGATAACTGGAAGTAAAGCTGCAAACAGTGCATATTACATGCTGAAGTTACCTTCTCTTTGTTTTTATATATCTGGAATTACACCTTTAAAGACTGATATAAGTCGCTCCAGCCACTGTACAATTTATTATTTTTCTGTCATCTTAAAATTTTATGAGTATAGCCTTATTTATTACCATAACACAGCAAAATTTTAAGTGTCTAAGAAACTAGCTTAAAATGTTTAAGATAGTTTTGATTGGGTAATAATTATTTGATTTTAAGAAGTTAATATTATAGATACTCTGGCACTAAGCTTCTATATTTTTAGGTCTTCCTTGTAATGCTGGAACATACTTCTTTTGCGTAACTCTCCATTAACCAACTAAATCCAATTTTTAATTCAATTAAAAGGTTATATGTACAGTTCCTATTTTAGCTTGCTTTAAAAGGGAGCAATGTTTTTATTTAAAATATTGTTAATAAATGCTTTGTAGAAATTTGGTTTTCTAAGGATAGTTCTTCCATAACAATCTTTTGTTCTTTGAGCACAAGGAGTTCTACTCTTACTTATACTGTATTTTTAAAATTTTTTTCCCTATATGCAGTCTTTAAAGGATTACAACACTTAAAATTGGATTGACTTGTGGCAACCTTTGACTTAGACATCTTTGGTAAGATTTTTTTAAAAAGCTCACAACTTACATGTGTGGTAGAATCAGCCATTGCTCTGCTCCTGGCATAGAGTAAACTGTTAAGTGAGTTTAAATAGTTTAAAACACATTCTTTCAAGGCCTTTGAGAATGCTTTCGTGTTTGGTTTGACATAAAAGGAAATTTTAGCAAGGATAAAAGAAAAAAGCTATCAGTTATATGTTAAGAAAGACTTTTACTAACATGTTTGTAAATATTACAATTCATGAAATGTTATTGTGAGTCTGTAACTTAAGTTTTTCCTTTTTTTTTTTAGTTGAAAAGGTTGGTTAGAAATTTTTGTTTTGGCATAAACAAGTAAAATTGTGCCCATTTAATGGTTTTCATGCTTTTGTAAACCTATGGATATTAATGTCTAGTTGTTCTATATTATAACCACATCTGCGCTCTATGCAAGCCCCTGGAACAGAACATACTCATCATGTAGGACCTATGAAAATTGTCTATTTTTATCTATATATTTAAAGTTTTCTAAAAATGATAAAAGGTTATTACGAATTTTGTTGTACAAAACCTGTACAAAAATCTGTTTTTACATCATAATGCAAGAATTGGAAATTTTTCTATGGTAGCCTAGTTATTTGAGCCTGGTTTCAATGTGAGAACCACATTTACTGGTATTGTATTTAATTTTCCTTTTCTTTTCAACAATCTCCTAATAAAACTGTCTGAAATCTCCCTGTGACTTTATTTACAGTTTGTCTTTATTAAATTTTGTGAAATGCATAGCATTGTAGGAATATTTACTTTCTAATGGGAAGCGTCTGAAAACAACATTAGTCAGCTTTTTGCAATGCAAAGGGAACAATGCTCAATGATTTTATTTAACATGCAACTGCTTCTATCTCTAATATGAATTACTGTGGTGAGAAAACATCATAAAAGCACACTCTGTAGCTATTGTTTAACAAGCAGATTTCCATATTTTGTTTCTTGCCAGCTAAGCAAACTGCCCACATATACATGATTTATTTATGTACATTTCTCAGTTTATGAAGCTGTTATTTGTACCTTTTTCCTTTATATTCTTATATTCCCATGATTCTTATTTCACAAAGCTTTGTGCTGAATAATGTAAAGTAGACATGTTGATAGAACAAAATATATTACTCCCTTATCTATAACAGTGTAGATTTGTACCTCTAACCCAGTGTTTTGCTTTTATTTCTGTCATTGGCAGAATGCCTTCAGTAACTTTGAAATTACAATCTCTTTTAATAGTATAACATTTTAATCAATCTTAGTGCAGCACTTGAAGAAATACTAGGTTGTTATTTCTGTGAATATTCTGAATATTCTCAAAAGAAAAAAATGGATTTTTTTCTGTCAAATGAATTATTTTAGTGAATTCTTGAATATATTTAACAAATTATGATTTTTTTTCTGATAAACCTTAAATGTTTATGAGACCATTACAAACACATTTTTGTCTTCCATCATTCTGTGTTTATATCAGTACAACTTGTTTTAGAACACTATGAAATCTCTTTATGTTAGGGGAAATTGGTGATAATTTAGTGTTTTTTGCCCTATGTATTTTCATTGGAATCAAGAAATTTACAATCTTCACAAAAGCTATTTATTGCTGGAAGAGAGTATTTCACAACTATAAGTTATATGAATTGCACTTTTAAATATAGGAAGTAGAGATGTTAATAGAAGAAAAACATTACTGTAAGCAGTAATATAAAATAGCAATTTTCCTTCTGTGCAGGCATGATATTGACATTTATCTTTAATCTGTATAATGGGTATATAAAAGCTGAACTCATCTTCATTTATTTATTTAAGCAGACTCATTAATAAACTTCTATGCTGCACTCGATGCCTGAAGCAGAAAATGTTGTTGTCCAGATAAGCTTATAATTTTGTTGAATAGAGTATCTAGCTTTCAGGAAGATTCACTGACCCTCACTTACTCTCCAGTAGATGGAACTGGTGTTAAGAGGTGATTGACCTAAATACATTTTTACTCTGTAATGACAGTCTAGTGACCCACTTGGTACTTCAACCTTCTGGAGTACAAGATGGTTTGGGAGTCACATGATTGGATGGGAATTGAGAAAGGAGAAATATATCTTTTCCCCTAGGTTAAAAAAAAGTTATTTTTTCATGTTACTTATTTGCTTATTTAAATTACATCATTCTTTTACCTTTTTTTTTTTGTACTGGGGATCGAACTCGGGTCCTTGTGCTTGCTTGCAAGGCGTGAGGTGGAACCACTGAGCTAAATCCCCAGCTAAATTACATCATTCTTAAAAGTGGTCAAATTTTTATTTAAGGCAAATAGCATTTTGGACAACAGACAAAAAATAATATTATCCACAAACAAATTCCTGATATATTTTCCCTATTGACAATGAATGGACAATATTTGGTCTTTATCACTCGGCATCTGCACTGCTTTAAGGTTAAATAATGGGGCTGGAGATTCAGCTCAGTGGCACCATGCCTGTCTTGCAAGCACAAGGTCCTGAGTTCGATCCCCAGGACCAAAAGAAAACAGGGGTTAAATAATGGCCTAAGATGATTCAAACACAGAGCATGAATGCTTAAATGCCAGATGAGTGCTAAAGCAATGAGTGAAATTTGTAGTTGCGACATCATTTACACTGAGAGATTAATGAACTGGAGAGTTTGAGCTGAACAACTGGAGATTCATGTAGGACTCCTCTGGGTGCTATAACAAAAACAATTTCCTTCAAGGATAAAAAGCAAAGAAATAAGTTCTAAAGGAAGAGTATACATGGCACTTCAACACTGCAAGGCTGCTATCCTCTGGGTGTCCAAGCAAGCTCCCCTACATTTACCTTCCTGCTCTCAGTGATTCTGCTGCTTTCATCTCTCAGACGGTCTTGCTTCTCTTGTCTGTCTCTGGACTGTATTATCCTGGAGCATAAGACCCAGCTCACAGAAGTAAACAAATTATTTTCTCCCTTGACCTAGGTCAGAGTCCCTGAGAGTTCTGATGGTCTCATGTCAGAGGACATACCAGCAGGAGACTTTGTCAATGCATTACATGCATTTTTAAAATTTTAGGAAATACTGTGTTCAGATAAATTTGAACCTCTGGGGTTGGGCTAGAGCA